GGCTAAGTTAGCATGAAGTTAGCACGAGAGAAATCAATGGCCTGTTTCAGTTTCTCAAACCGTCACATCGGGACAGTCGAGACGCCCCGCGAACCCAAACTATGCCTTAAAGTTTCCCGTTGTTTTAACTGACTTTCCCGACAAACACAAACTTGACAAATAGGATGGCCTGTAACGGGAGAGGAGTGTGGAGACTCACCGGTGTCGCCGCTAAGAGAGAAAAGAGGTAAATGGCTGCGTTCGCGGGAGATTCAGCGTGGACTATGAGTCAGTTTCCGCCCTTATCACGTGACTACCGCAGCGGTAAAAACGCATTTGATTTCAGGGTATGCACCACGGCATGCAGACCATGATTCAGCATGTCTGCTAATCTGAAAACGGCACTTCTTTCGAGAAGATCTACGTACATCTAACCCCTGTACACCCAGTATTAAAGCTTATAATGTATCCTTCTATACCAGTGTCAATTTCAATTGATAATTATTAGGTTTTTTTGTCAATAAAACAATTAATTGTTTGGTCTAGATATCATAAGATAGTTGCAGAGCTGAATATCCAAACATTTCTTTTATCCAATGGAACAAAGATATTTAGTTTACCATCATATAAGACAGACGGAAGCAGTAACGGTGATAAAATCGCAATAGCAAAATGATCAGTTCCTATTATCCACTAATCTATTCATCAGGTTTTTGTTTCAGAACCTCCTTTGATGCAATGGGCAAATGAACTGTTAAAACAGGATTTATTTCAGCATCTTAAATAGCTTCAGCAACATTACATAAATATACCCTTCCAGAAAATGTCCTATTACATCAGATAAAACAGGATTTTAAAGTGCAGCAGAAAATGGTCTATCAGACTGTGCATAGGCTACACATTTTATAGTCAACATCATAAAAGTGCAACATCATCGATCTGTGCAACGTATCATTTGTGCGTTTGTGTTTTTTCTCAGTTCTGATAACAGAATATGAGGCTGCAAGGCTTCATCGCTTATATGTAACTCCCTATAACATCTGTAAAGCTACATATAATCTCTTTAATGTGTAGGAGGATGATAAGATGTATCATTTTTCTGTATGATGCATCTTCACACGCAGTGTACAGATGCAACAGTGAGTCTATCTGTACAGGTAATCTGCCTGTATGTTGGCTGCTATCTCAGCCTCCCATCGGTCTCCGTTGTTCAGCAGCTTCTCTTTGTTGTACAGCAGCTCCTCGTGGGTCTCTGTGGAGAACTCAAAGTTTGGACCCTGAGGGAGGGAATGAAGAAAAAATAGACATTAAAACATCTGTAGGCTTAAATCCACAGATGATACAAAGTCCTAGATTTAAGTTTTGATGATGGTTGAGTGCATAACGCCCCATTTGAATACATTCAATAAATAATTTCCCCCTTTGTTGAAGGTAGCAGTTGACTTTTAGGTAAACCATCTGCATGATGAACCTATTGTTGTTTTGTTCTTGTTCCAAACCCTAGATATACATGTTGAACTCTGAGTGGTTCTTCAAAGAAAGCAGAGGACTGTAGTAGTTTACTTGAGTTTACTCGGGCAAAAAGGAGGAGGCAGGTGTTGTTTTTAGAGGTGAAAAGTTGTACAAATGGCAAATGTCAAAAGACGGAAAAGTCTGCCTACTTCCTCACCTCCACACACCTGACAAATCACTGGAAGTGGGTGCAACTGTCTGACTGTCTGTGGAAAGTTACAGGTTTCTCTATTTGGAAAAAGAAGGTTTCAGACGCTGCTGAACGATCCTACAAGCATTAAAGCATACTGGGGCCTAGAGTGTAGGATACTTATACGTTGGCAATGCAGACTAAATAAATACTGGGGATGTAAATGTGACACTGATATGATCTTTAAACGCCAAAAAAAGATCCCCTGGCAGGAAACATGGAAGGTGACAGAAATAAAGTTACTGAGAAAATGTTCACCTCTTATTCAGTATACGGTCTACGTTTATTCTTACCTCAACAATGGCATCAACGGGACAGGCTTCCTGGCAGAAGCCACAATAGATACATTTGGTCATATCAATGTCATAGCGAGTAGTTCTCCTGCTGCCATCAGCGCGAGTCTCAGCTTCAATGGTAATGGCCTGGGTGCAACATAGGCAGGAAAGGGAAGAGACAAAAGTCAGACGTGACACTTTATGGTGAAGAAGGCTGACCGATATAGAAAGGTGCAACATTACCTCGCAGTAATATTGCTCTTTCTCTATAGCAGGATCTGAGTGTGTGTTTGTGTTCACCTGAGCAGGGCAGACGGCCTCACACAGCTTACAGGCAATGCAGCGCTCCTCTCCATTAGGGTAGCGGCGGAGGGCGTGCTCGCCACGGAAGCGGGGTGACAGAGGGCCCTTCTCAAACGGGTAGTTGATGGTGGCTGGTTCACGGAACAGGTAACTCATGGTCATCGCCAAACCTGCGGGAAAAAGGTGTTGCCGAAGAAACGAGTTGTGACTCACTTAAAGGACAATGCCGGCGTTTTTCTAGATTTTTATTATTGTCATGAAATTCCATAAAAGGACAAAAACCACAGTGAGCACCAAACTCATTCTGACTAACATACCAAAACAGGTCATAAATATATTGGTTCATTTTTGAGGAAGCTTTTAGCAAATGTCACTCAAACTGGAGTAAATAGTTTACCAATCAATCAATCAATCAATCAAGGAAATGTATTATCAATATACAGCACAAGGTTGTGAAATTAACGTTTGCAGGTCCTTCATGCTACACTCATAGAAAAAGATAATTAAATTCATGGAATAAAATGTCTTTATATACATATTTATATACACGTATACAACCAGGAAATAATTCTATAGTGCATCTTTTGAATTTGCGTCTTTTATGTCGGTGTAAATGGTGCAAATAGGGAATTTTACGTGGACTTTAAATACATTTGAACAAATTGTGGAGTCGTTTTATTGATGACAGTTGAGGTATTTCTTCTACTGGCTGGCCGGTAGGTAATGTTTTGTTGTTACTTGGAGTTCTGCATCTGTACTCTCATTAACTCAGGGACTATAATACTAGTCTTAGTCTTTACTGTGTCATCTTCAGCATTTTGTTGTTGTATCATGATTAGATGTCCTCCCTCTAATAAAGTCAATTAATCTAAACTAAAAAGACTATTTTCAGACTCAAATTATTAAACATTTGGTGCACTAGTAGGTATTTATGGCAAAAGGGTGGTGTATGTGGAACTGACTCTAACTACAGTGGCTGTATTTGTTGTGATAAAGGACCATACAATGTAATACAATTTAACTCATTTATGTATTTTTAATTGTTTCTATCTATGGTTCGGAGGAATAAGGTGTACCAGGCCTTGACTGCAGAGACAGAAACTTATTGGTAGGATAAATCGGTTGTTGGTTTTTGTCTTTTCGATATTTGTTCACAATAAGAATAATGTAGAATATCACAAGGCCTTAAACCCTTATAACATAACATGAGATATCTTTACAGAAATCATAGTTTGAGTGACCTCTAAAGAGCTCGGTCCAAAGAAGAGTCGTGGCAGCCCGGTCAGTGACGGACCTCAGGTCTGTTGGCAGCTCCTGAGCATTTACATACTCTTACAAGGAGAACAGAGGGAGAGAGAGAGCATTTAAAAACATGTGGTAACTCTACTGACAATGTAATAGCTCTTGGTGTGTGTCAGCACTTACTAAAACCTTCTCTCAGCACACTGACACTGAATGGGCGAGTTACCCCGGGGCTGTATCCGAATGTGCCTGGGGATGACAAATGTGATGTGACAATAGCTCTTTTTTTGTGTGTGTGTGCATACAGATATGATTTAGGGACATTTGCTTCAGTGGTACCTGGCCTTGAGTAGCAGTGGAGAAGACGCAGACTCAGTGCAGAAGACATCTGAGCAAAGAGGGACAAGTGGACAGCATATTGAGATACAATAAGAGGAACTAAAATGTACACAGCAGATACAGGAAACCCTTGTGTGTTGCAAACAAAGCTGCTCACTGAAAACAAGGGACGGGTGAGTGAGGGGTGGAGACTGCCAGCTGAATGAGAACAAGCGTCCGGTAATCTCGCGCCCTCAATCCCTGCTGTTACGTCAACGGTTTGCCACGTTCACGGCATGCCGGCAGAATGGGAAGAACGGGAACACGTCCAGTTTATGCGATTTGGGAGCATTCAGGGATTATTCTAAGATTGCTACCCCCGTTTGCTAGACGAGCTGTCGCGCCATTTAAACGGAAAAGTAGCTTAAATAAGGTATTTTGTATCGTGTCAAAATGTTGTAACGTGTTCACAATTTACACCAAATATAGGCAAACATTGGTCGACTTGACTGTAAAATGTTAATAAATAACATAGATACTAATTAAATAATGCTGACTTTGGTGTTTTTTTCCCTAAAAAATGTTTGCAATTAGTTTGTAGGCACATGGGCAATCCTTTGCTTTAATTAATTGTTTGTACGATATAACCTGAACGCCTCATTACAAATTAAAATCACCGTTAGCAAAATTAAGCTCAGGTTGACACAACAGGTAACATAACCACGCAGTTTCCTTAAAACGTTTATTTGGTCATTTACTTTGATTTATTTGGACGATACGTGTTCGTAATAGCAAACTGTGAGCCCTGACTTCATAATGTACAATAACTAAGTCGCTCACCAACTTTACAGTGCGTTAATTCAAGGTAATTTAGTAGAATAATTCATTGAACGCAACACGGACCCTATACCTGAAGCGTAAAACAATCGTCACAATAACCAGTTCGCCTTTATAATAATACTCTACTAGACTTACCTCTGTCACAAGTGTTTGATGAGCAACAAGACGCAGACAGCAGGTCCGTGAACTGCGCAATTGTATTTATGTTGCATTCAAGCACCCCTCGTTAATTTCCCATTCTGAGTTTAAATTACCGCCAGGCGCGTGTAATTGTAGTATTTCCTACTGCAAGTGAAAGCAGCATTCACAATGCCCTGAAGAGGAAGTAATACTCATAAGCAGAGCATATTATACATGTATCACACACCCTGATGTCATGTTACAACTGAATATCACTTCTGTGTAACCTAAATAAGAGCATTTTCCATAAATAGTCAATTTTACTGCTTTAAGGGAAGTTGATTTAAGGGACATAATGTATTTGTAATACTGAGAGAGGGAGGCAGAGAGAGAGAGGCAGAGAGAGAAAGAGAGAGAGAGAGCAATTGGGCGAGAGAGCGAGAGGAAGTTTGTCTTCCTCTCATCACTGGAAGATCTCACACTTCACCTCTTCAACAACGGAGTGAGCAAATATGACGGAAATTTAAAAGGTAATTACATTTAAAAGCATATTTGAAGAGATTTAACAATTGTGCTCTTGTGATGTGATGTTTATGGAAGGAGGGAAGGAAGTGGTTTTAAACTACTTTACACTGATCGAAAAAAGAATAAAAGACGAACTGAGCCAGCAGATGTCATAACCTTGGCTTGAACTGAAGACGGGTAGTGAAGAATGTACTTTTAAGATGTTATTAAGTGTAGCAGGACACTCTTGTTCAGCATCAAGGCCTCTACTTTGTGTACTGACAATAACAACCTAAACAGACTCCAGTGAGAGAAGTGCTTTTGGATGGGGTTAAGGTTTGGAACATTGATACATCCACATGTGGGAGGCGTTGTAAGGTCACAAGCCTCTGATGAATCAACTAATCATGATGATAAAGTCATAACGAGGAGCCTCCTCTTTCAGTAAGATGTTGAGTCCATCGAGTCCAGCCCAGAAGAACCTCGGTGACGAGGACAGCTCTGGATCGGATGCAGGATCAGAGGCTGGTCTGGAACCTGAGACAGACCGGTTTGGTTTCATTGTGACCAATGGATCCACAGCAGGGTGAGCAGTTCCACATTTGTGCTTGTGGCCTGTCACTGTATCGTCACTGAGCTTGGCACTGTTATCAAAACCAGGTGTTCTGGTTCTCTGTTTTCAATTCGCTTTTCAAAGAGACTTTTTTATTTTATTTAAAAAGGGCAAAGGGTAGAGAGACAAATGAAGGCTGAAGTGGTTGTTGAGTTTACTAAACTGCATCTCAAGGTAGATAAAAACTCTAGAAAGGTTTCTATTAAATGTGAAAATGAAATATAGTAAAAGAAATGCCCCTCAAGGTCTCAGTCCATTACCTATATTTATCTATTTTCATTAAGTCTGTGTAACTCTATTTAAATGTTTGTGGTTAAATTGAATCATAGCTGACTGGTAAGATTTTTATACATTGTTAATATAGCAATATAAATACTAATTATACAATAAACCTGTGCATGTGTCCTCCTACTATTCTGATTGGATGATTTTTTTATTTATTTTAAAGTAATTTTTTTGGCCTTTTCATTGCCTTTATTTGATAGGGACAGCTGAAGATAGACAGGAAACACGCAGCAAAGGGCCACAGGTCAGATTCGAACCCTGGGCTGCTGCAGCAAGGACTCAGCCTCAGTATGTGGGTCGCCAGCTCTACCCACTGAGCTAACTGGGCACCCTGATTGGATGATTTAACAATTAATGCTACCTATTAGTGCATAAATAATCTTTTATGTCTATGTTTATGGCTTGGATGGATTTTCCTGTTTGCATTGTTTCATTTTTAGAGGTAAAAATGTCCAAAAGGTAGAGAACAATCTACATTATTTTGTTTAACTACAGTATCTGGTGACCCCTAAAATAGTTTAGACCTCCAATAGCTTGGGAACCACTGTTGTATAATTTATTATCACTTCTGCTTCTGCTTTCAGAACTCCTCGAAACCCCTGCTATATGTTGAGCTTTTAGACCTTGAAACACCTAGGATTGAAATAATTCCCAGATGTTAGTGTCAGTTTCAGAAGAGATGATACCAAAAAATGTGTTTCCCTTAATGCTGAAGGTTAGCTATTGAATGTTTATATAGAGAATACAGTGTACAGTGAAGAGCCAGACCATGCTTCTATAAAACCACGTATCTGAAGACCTGTATTTTAATCCAATGCTTTTGTGACACGGAGCCGACTGGGCAAATAACACTCAACTGCAGTCAAAAAACAATTAGCAAACAGGTCTTAATGAGAGAGCAATAGCTTCCAAACCATCTATTTGAGAATAAAAGTACACTACGAAATACAGCACGGCCCACCCAAGAGCAAAAGTTTTCTGCTAAAGAGTGAAAGAAAGCCTTGTTTACGCAGCAAGTAAAGCTCCAACCTCACAGTTGCAATGGGAGAGGTCAAATGAGGAGACAGCCACATGAAAGGTCAATAAACCAGTGAATAAAACTCACAGTTAAACACAGAAATATTTATAAGTGGTCGTATTTATTTTGTCAGCTTCAAAACTACTCCTCTGTTTTGCAAAGCATTGCCACCCATGATGACTTTATTCAGCAGGACAGACAGACAGGTGCTGCATTAATGTTGATATAATAATTCTGTAGGAACATAGATGTAGATAATACTAGCAACAACAACATTATATTTAATCAACAATGAAATAAAAGATCCTGCTGGTGGACTACACAAAGCAGTGTACATTCAGGATGAGACCAGCTGAACAAACTGCTACCTGCCGTCTTCACACTTTCCCCATTGATAACATCCTGACCTGTTGCCATGGAGACTTAAAACTGCTACCGTGTGGTTTTCCTGTTTCCTGTCTTGATTTTCAGAGCGCTGTCTTTCTATAATGACAACACACAAAAGTGCATGCACAAACTCTGCACACTGACACAAAGGTATCAATGGATGAGACACACTGAAGGTTATTTCATGTTTAAAATACTTACTTGGTGATTTGTTTGCTGTTTTTGTGTCAGGAGTGTGGGCCCACCCCCTGAGTTGGTCAGGCAGAGGGAGGCCAAATGGATAAACATCATTGCCCAATGGGATCGCATCTTGTTGAAGAAGACCAGTAAGGTGTGTCCCATTTTACATACCCTAATGTCATTAAATGTAGTGTAAATAAACTCCAAAACTAAATGAAAGACATTTTGACATGTCACAGTAGAATAAAGCAGGTACTAAGAAACAGACAGATGGCTGAATTCCATTTAGCTGCTTCAGTTTCAGGGTCCTGGTGTTACTGTCATGGCTTCCTGGGACTTGAATAAAGCCATTATTAATGTTGTTAGTTATTAATAGTATTCATACTGAACTACTTTGAGCTGAGCCTGTGTCTCTGTTACTGACATCCCTTCAGGTCAAAGTGCAGTGTCAGAAAGGCATCCCGGCCTCGCTCAGAGCTAAGTGCTGGCCTCTGCTGTGTGGCGCTACCGACAGGATGAAACAAAGCGAAAACCTCTACCAGGCAAGAAAACTAAACACGCTCACAGAGTAACAATGTGCTGTAGTCTTAATTCAAAGGATGCAGTGTGACTAGTGTTTTAACAATTAGTCAATTCTTTGATTAGATGATAAAATATTCATTGTTAATGTTATCAAGAAAATATGACAAACATTTTACTGGTTCCTGCTCCTAAACTGAATATCTTTGCAATGTCAAAACAAGCATCACCACACATCACATCACCTTGGGCTCTAGGAGCCTTTTTTTTTTTTTTTTTTACTTCTGACTAGCTAATGGTGAAATCAGTAGTTGATTCATTGATTAGTTGCTTGCTATTATCTGTTTTTATAGAAGTGTAAATGGAGAATCTCAGGCTGTGGGATCTTGTACTGCACAATTATCATTATTTACTGACTTCTTATACTAAACTTGAAATTGACTAAACAATAGATAATTTAAAATAATTGTTGCAGCACTAAGCCTAAATAAGGCTCCTTGTACTTACAATACATGCACTGTTTTGACTTAAACTATCTTTTATCTGTGTGTTAGTCTCTGGACTCACAGCCCGCTCTGCAGAGCTGGGTGGATGTGATCGAGAGAGACCTGGACCGACAGTTTCCTTTCCACGAAATGTTCCTTTCCAAGGATGGACATGGGTAGGAATCATTGCTATCTCTCTTTGTTTCTGTTGACAAGCTCATGGCTACAAAATAATCCCACAGTCTTTTTAGCGTTTAGCTGCTACCATTGCATCTTTATATTCTTTGTCTCTTTGTTTTCTGTTGCACAGGTGATTTTTATCAAAGTGTAATCAGGACGTTTTAACTTGTGGTTTGTGTCACTGATGATTGTGGTGTGTGTGCATGTTTGTTTGTGTGAAGGCAGCGTGGTTTGTTCCGGGTGTTGAAAGCCTACACTCAGTATCAACCAGAAGAGGGTTACTGCCAGGCACAGGGGCCCGTGGCTGCAGTGCTGCTGATGAACATGCCAGCTGAGGTAGCGATCCGTCTCGAACACTGTTTACCCTTTTGCCCAATAAAGAATCTGCAAACATTTAATCAATCTAGATTTTAGCACTGTGACCTGTGGCACAAACACTGCTTCAGATGCATACCTAGCCTAATAATAGGAGGGATAACTTATAAATGTTGACTTATTGTGAATGTATATACCATCTAAACCCATGTGACCTTGTCAGGAGGCCTTCTGGTGTCTGGTGCAGATAAGTGAGCAGTACCTGCCTGGATACTACAGCCCTCTGTTGGTGAGGACATGCACTATGTGGCCGACACTACACTTATATTAATCTGTTTACCCTGTCATATACAGACAATTTACATGAACTGTAGCCCAGTGAATTAAATTAGAAGCTCATTTTTATTCATTTATGCTATGCATTAACTCCCAATTCAGCAAACACTTAAAGATTCATTAAGACAACAATTAATCAAATAATCACAGAAACATTGTGCACAGTGTGGATCTGTGGTTTTTATGAATGTCATTTTTTATTTATTGTAGGAAAAACTGAGACAATGTTCCAGTTATTTCTAGTGCAACCAGAGTCAGTCAGGTCAACAGAACATGAAAAAATGGGTATACAATTCTTCTTTCAAGGAAGAGCCTATTTCCCTATGATAAGTACCAGATAGATATATGGTATATCAATATTCAGGGAAACTTCCTATTATTTGGAAATTAGAGAACCATAAAACAAACTATTACCTGGATCTGATTACCTGAACTAAGCGTGTGTACTCATGCAGGAGGGAGTCCTGTTTGACGCGGCCATGCTGACCTGGGTGTTGAAAAGGACATGTCCAGCTGCACACAAACATCTGCAGCACCACGGGGTGGAGCCCCTCATGTTCGCCACTGACTGGCTGATGTGTCTCTTCACACGTCACCTGCCCTTCAACACACTGCTCCGGGTCTGGGACCTCTTTTTCTGCTATGGTATGTTCTCATATGGACTGCTGTGCGTCATACAAATTAAATGATTTCCTGAAAGGGAGGCAACCAAATATGTAACTGCTTAGATAAAATGTTGTATTGTATATTTTGGTACAAGTTACAACAGTTTAAAATTCCTTTCATCTGATTAGAATGAAATTGGTTACTTCCATATTGCTTTCTTTGTTATACTCTGATTTATGTCCACTCTTACCTCTCCTCTCCTCTGTGCAGGAGTGCGGGTGCTGCTCCAGGTGGCGGTGGTGCTGGTGCGTCGGGTTCTGGGCCGAGCTGAGCAGAGGAAGCAGTGTCAGGGTCAGATGGAGACTCTGGAGAGGCTGAGGGGAGTCAGGGAGCAGGTCCAAGAGGAAGATGACTCCTTCATAGCAGAGGTAAGGACGACTCATATGGCTGGTGTTGAGGAGAGCAGCCGCTGAAAATCTGGTTTACTAGCTATCAGTGACTTCAGCAGATGATTTCATCCATACCACTTTTAAGACGTCTGTTTTGGCTTAAGATTCAAGCATGAAGTGACCACACCTACAATTGAAAAATCAGGGCACTGACTGCAAAAGCAAAATCTTTTCAAAAAAGATAAAAAAGAATAAATAAATGTTCCACACTGAAGGAACTGGCTGCCAGAAACTATAGTTTAGATATAAACTAATGTTTTCTTACTTTCTTAGGTGTGCTCTGTGCCACTGTCAGCCAGAGATCTGGATAAGCAGACGGAGAAGGAGTTAGAAAAGTGGAGAAAAGACAGACCCTCATCCACCTTTGACCCCAGAGGTCGCTGCTATGGATACCGGATGGCATGGGCGAGGGCTCGACAGAACGAGGAAGAACGGAACAGGAAAGAGAGAGAGAAAGGGAACCTGTCCATCCCTCTTGCTCGCTCTGCCTCCACTCTCTCGCTGTCTCCCTCCATCCTTCACAAGAAGTGGAGGAAAGGGGGAAAGGTAAACGCAGGCGAATGGGAAGGCGGCGGCAGAGTTGTAAGGCATCTCTCGATGGGAGCAAAGGAGGACTGGAGCAGCTGGGCTGATATACGTTTTAAGAAGGTACAGGGCGTCCAGGAGGAGGAGGACACGGTTTCAGAAGAACATGAAGAACAGAATAAGCCGAAACAAAGTGAACAGAAAGAAACTACGAAGATGGACACAATCCAAAACATACCAACGGAGCATGTAGAAGAAACAGTTATAGTAAAAGAACAAGTAGAAACAAGAATCACAGAAAAGGAGGAAAGCCAACACAAAGAGACAGAGACAGAGGAAAGCAAAATGCTTTCAGAACAGACAGAAGAAACCAATGTGGAGACAGAACCAAACCAAGGTCCAGCCAAACACCAGACTGTTGATAATATTCTTCAGCAGGGCGAGGAGCTGGATTCTTCCAGCCCGTCACAAGTCCTGGAACAGCAGAGTCACAAAAGCAAAGACCAGGACATTGAGGTCAAAGACAAAAATAAAGAGACAGAAATACAAGAGGCAGAAAGTGAACCTACAGCTGCTGTGCAGGAACATCAGACTGAGACACAGAAAGATCCTGAAGCAGATACAAACACAGAGGTGGAGACGGAAGAAAGTGTGGACCCAAGTGAGGAACAGATGATTCAGGCCGACATGAAACCAGAGGAGAGCTTAGAAACTGAAAATGTGCAACAGACGCAGGTGGACACAGTCACAGAGGTCTCAGAAACAGCGACTGAGACAAGCCCCGGCTCACAGACAAATGGTGAGGCTGAAGCTCCAACTGTCAAAGATGCTACAGTAGAGACAGAGATACAAGAGCAACAGCAAGAAGCGATCACAGAGACACAAGAGCAACAGCAAGAAGCGATCACTGAGACACAAGAGCAACAGCGAGAAGCGATCACAGAGACACAAGAGCAACAGCAAGAAGTGATCACTGAGACACAAGAGCAACAGCAAGAAGCGATCACAGAGATACAAGAGCAACAGCAAGAAGCGATCACAGAGACACAGGAGCAACAGCGAGAAGCGATCACAGAGACACAAGAGCAACAGCGAGAAGCGATCACAGAGACACAAGAGCAACAGCAAGAAGCGATCACAGAGATACAAGAGCAACAGCAAGAAGCGATCACAGAGACACAGGAGCAACAGCGAGAAGCGATCACAGAGACACAAGAGCAACAGCGAGAAGCGATCACAGAGACACAAGAGCAACAGCGAGAAGCGATCACAGAGATAGACAACAGCTCACAGGGAGATGCATTTGAACAAAAATACCACAGCACTGAGTCATTAGCAGAAACAGAATTGAAAGAAGAGCCACACACCCAAACAGAGACAGAAACTGATGTACTGGCACAGAATCAGAAGCAGGTGGAAAAACATGTAGCGACATCGGACGAACTGGACGCTGAAATAGTACAAATAGACTCAGAACAAAACACTGATTCAAGTGTAGAAGCAGAAGCAATAATACTGTGTTCACCTGAATGTGTCCAACCAAAAGAAGGTGCTGACCTAGTGGTTGACACAGAGATTGAAGTAGAAATACCAGTTTCAAACGACACAGTGACGCAGTCAAGTGAAGCATTTGCTCAGTGTTCAGAGAAAGTGGTTAACGCAGCAGCATCTGAACCTACAGAGGAAGAAGGAGAAATTCTGACTGCACACTCAGAGGGTGACAATGATGAGACACAAGCAAAGGAAACACCAATAGAAACTCAGATGAAAGAGGAGACTACGGACTCCACTGAACCTTCAGCACAGGCTGAGGCAGTGAATCCCACCGCCGAGCCTGATGGGGAAAAAAATTAAAAAAAAAGGAGGCCCCAAAAAAAACCCCAAAAAAAAAAAAAAAAAAAAAAAAAAAGGGGGGGGGGGGAGAAAAAAAAAAAGAGGATGTTCAAGAAGACACTGTAGGAGAGAACGACGTCTTCATTTCTACTGAACCAACAGACTCAAATACTGACAGTAATGCACATGTACAAGACACAGAGTCTCACTGTCCGAAAGACCAGACTGAGCCCAATAACAGCAGCCTGACACAAGCCTCTGGGCGCCGCAACAGCCGGTCTTCTGGGGATTTCTGCGTCCGCAAATCATCCAGCTCACGTGGGTCCAGGTTAGGGCGTAGGCTCTCTGAAGATCTCTTTACTGTGCCACAGAAAACTAGCCAATCAGAATCTATCCCTAACCAGCCAGAGGTTAAACGCACTGAATCGCAGTCCAGTCCTGGAGCTGTAAACCCAACCCAAACTCCACCTGACGTCACTTCAGAAGTCACCTCGTCACTGGCTGCAGGAGTGGCTGAGAGGACAGAGGCACAGCAGGAGCAGAAGCCGCCCGATCCCCCTAAACGTTTTGGTCTCTTCCGCAGACTGAGAGGAGACCAGCCTAAAAAGGCCAAGGCAAAGGGGGCGGCCAAAATGCAAGTTCCCAAAATCTTGATCCAAGACTTCAGTGATGGAACCGGGATGGAGAAACAGGTTGTGGAAGAGGAGGAGGAGGAGAAACTGAGCTCCAGGGAAAGGAGGAGGAGGCGGCGGGAGCAAGAGAGAAGGGAGAAAGAGGAAGAGAGGTTGAGGAAGAAGAAAGAGAAGGAGCTGGAGAAGGAGAAGGGGCGAGAGAGGAGGAAACCACAGACTAGGGGGAAAAGTTTCCAGGTGCAAAGAGAGAAAGGGAGCAGTGACGAGCCCGCAAAGACTGCATCACAGACGAAAAATGTTTCTTATGCTGAATCTTACTTTTGACAAAATAACTCTTTGTTAGTTATCGGCTCTGGAGGGATGAAGTGTTTCACTGAGTGCTTCATCCAGATCCTTTCTCACCGTCCTTTCTGTTGAGGCACTGGTTTCAGCTCCACGTTGCGCAGAGATCCTAAATATTTGTCATACTTGAACCTTTTTACATGTAAATAATAAATGTTTACATACTTTTGAAAGATATCTTTCTTTTATTTAGAGTAGCTTTTTTGTTGCACCTTGACCACAAACCGAACAGGCTCTGAACCAAAAATAAGTGCTTCATGTCCAGTTTCACATAATCCCATATTTTTAAGTCCACCATTCACATTATAGTCCAGTAAAAAGTTTGAAAACAGTAGCAGTTCCTGTTCTGTACTGTACACTATATTTGCATATTTTTGTCCATGTAAAAAAAAAAAATAATCCTGTACAACACTTGTACAAGCTTTCAGGTCAGTCCACTGTCACTCTGCTTCATTATACATCATCCTCACTGTCACTGGCCAACACTTCCTGATTTGTCACTGGTTGAGTGCTCATCTGAGGAGATGGAGGAATCACAGATCCAAAGAACAGGGAACAGAACTGTGAGGGCAAAACACAGGAAAAAATAGATAGGAATGTTTTATTTTAAAGGTGAAATACAAGTTATTTCTGCAAGTCATATCCAGCCAATTGTAAAGTCCTGACATAATTTACCAGTACAAGGTCTCTTTTTTTAGATCTGACACAAAAAGCCTCGATTTAGCACGTAATCTGCACCCATGTCCTTCACAAGGATTTGTCTAATTAGAGCAGATAGGATCTCTCTAACTGGAGTCATCTTTTAATCAGTACAGGTTGTTTGAGATTCATTGTGTACTTTGTGGACTCACACATCAATGTGACAACAGGTGGTATGTACTACTGCAATATGTCTTTGAAAAGGAGATTTAAGTACAGCTACACAGCCGTTAATCAATTATATCTCCTTCTGTTATATGTTTATCTACCAGCTTTTTCTATTTTTGTAAGAGCCTTTTAATTAGAAATCTAAACCATACCTTCTTGTTAGGTGGTTTGGATGAATCAGCCGTGTCATCTTCCTCTTCCTCCTCCTCACTGTGTAGCCTCGTCCTGTTATTGGCTGCGGCAGGCTGTTTTGAACATGTGGAATCAGCTAATGGGGGTGTGGGCGGACCTGTAGCCGAGGGACCTGGTGCCATACTGGTATCCATGGCGATGAGGTAGGAGTCTATGTCGTCATTCATGAAGTCATCAGCAGGGGGCGGAGGTGTGAGTGCTCTGAGGAGATGGAGAGTTGGAAATACATGATATGAATGAGAGAGAGAAGCTGCCTTCACTGCCTTTAAGTAAAATTTATTCAGTAACATTTTGCCCTGCGATTGTGCTGCTCCTCTTTACCCAGTCAGCATTATATTGAACATGCAACATGTGTGACCATTTGTCAGTATTCAATGTATTGCCTCTAATGTATGAAATAAAACATGAAACCCTCTGGTAGTTATTCCTGAATAGAGTATATCTCCTAAACTTGGTTTCACTGTTGATCCATGTGGTTGTTTAGGAAATCTTTGGCATTTATCGTGCAGAGAAGCAACGACAACTGGTGGATGAGGACACAAATACAGACACTTTTTTAAGTGTAATTTACCTTCTACAAGAGAGTGAGTCCTGCCCAGATTGGGTTGGCTGGAAAGCTGGAGAAAGGTGTGTGTACAAATGTTTCTACAGAGATCAAATTATAGGGAACTTAAAAGGCCAAACTTCCCATCCAAGATTGGCAGGGCACCACACACAACTTCAGCTCATGGGATGGCAGGCTTCAACATCCACCCCTGTCCATACCTACTACCTTACCTATGCGTCAGTTATGACAAGTAAAGATTAAGGAAAATTCTGACTCACACAGGCTACATTTTTGGAACCTGTACATTGTAAGAGTTCATCTTTCTATACAATTACGACAACACTTTTGGTATCAATTAAATTACACTTTAATACCAATCTGCAATTAGATTCTGCCACAGTCAACTTACTCTCCACTCAGATGATGCCAAAATTAAGTATCTTCTAGAGAGTTCTCAATAATGTTCATCAGCTGGCATCTCTGCAAGGTAAATGCTGCTGATTTCTCCCCTGTCATTTAAACTAAAGAAACCTTTCAGATGAATAGCGAACCTGTGTTATTTTCAGTATGTTCTGCCATTGCCCTTTTCTCAGACTCATGCATTCAACTTTGTTTTAATGTTACCGTCTAGAGTTGTTTTTACGGTGGTTGGGGTCGTCAGAAAGTGTGGCCAGCACAAAGTTCCCCTCCAGGACACTGTCCGTTACTGAAAGCACTACAGGGCTGACACACACACACACACGCACGCACACGCACACGCACACGCACACACACACACACACACACACACACACACACACACACACACTGTCAGTACATTATAGAAACACATGTGATCAACTAACATCTGTATGTGAGTATGCTTACCTGCCCGGTTCATCAAAGTACATAGAAATAGGGAGACCAGTAGATTCTGCAAACACTAACAAACCCTGGAGGAGAGATGACAAAAACTTCTTAAAGAGTAAATCAATGCAACAAGTCTTTATTAAAAAACATAATTTTAACTGTCTGCAAATTGCGCTCAGTATCATTTCCCTAAAAGAACTTTGCTCTCTCTTTGGTCAATTTCCCAGTCTTCTCCCTCCTAACTAAGCCTCCTATTCTTTCCCGTTATCCCTCTCTTTGTCCTCTGTCTCACCCGTAACTCCTTCAGACAAAACGTAACGCTGTTGTGGATTCGGACGGCAAAATGGTCAAACTCATCTGAAGCCAGACACAGCTCTGTCAGCATGGCCTTGGACTGGTCTGAGAGGGAAACAGGCAGTGAGAGAAACAGACAGAAAAGTAAAAATGACAATTTTCATGTTATAATCAACATTATATTCTTATATTCTGTTGCTATTACCTTGCAGAGTTAGAATCAACTACTGGCTAATGGCTGCTGAGACTACACAGAGTAATTCTGCTGTTCTGCCTTTCTGCCACACAAGGGCACCACTGGTTCATATATATCCTCTTTCCCTTTTTATGCATTATTTTCTCTATGTCAGTAACAGCAACATAATGCCAACTTTTCAATGCTACTATACTTGAAAACAAAATCACTCATTATGGCTTTGAAATTAGTAAATATCATTGATCATGAATATGCCATTTTAAACTTCTGTATATTTGTAAACTGACCCTGATTATAAATAAGTTCTGTCAGACTAAAATGTTGAACTAGTTGATTTTAAATTACTTAAATAGTCGTTTTACACATTTTTGCACGTTTTACAAATATGTAGGTTTATAGCTTCTGGGTGTTAAAAAAAAAAACAAAAAAAAAAACTACACCTTCTTCCTCCACATGGTTCCTGACCCACATCCGCTCATCACTCACTGACACAGTCACTTCTTCCAGAGAAGGAGGGAAGTGCACAACTGTGTCCACCAGCAGCCTGAGAGCAAGAGAAAAACAAAAATTGAGCTGTTAGTAATAAAATAAAATGACTACTTGTGGGGTTGGACCAGTGTTACAGTTTGCTTATGTGGTTGACAACAGCCACAATGCAGGTTCCTCTCTGACAACAGCTAAAAAAAAAAATCAAACTACAAATTACAAGACAATATGAAAGACAGATACAAATGTAGAAAGACAAAGAACAACTGTCACTATTTTTATTAGAAAGACTTTAGTGTTTCATACCTGGGATGGGATCTGAATACATTGGCATAGCTGTCCTTATCAAACACTGCCTGTAAGCTTTCACTGTCCTGGAAAGACAGGTTATGTGTCTTCAGGAGGCCTGCAGAGAAAATACCAAACACTTCTGAGCACACAAACACGTAAACTACTATGCAATGAATGCATGATATGCTACAATGAATGAAACATGTGTCAGCGTATATGAGAGGTAATCACTCATGTAAAGCATCGTGAGCCAGTGAGAAGGAAGTGAAGCACTGATACCGTGTTTGCAGTGCAGGGTGAAGGTTAAGCGGTTCTTCTGCTCGTCCAGAACAATGTCACACTTTTCCACTGTCTTCTCCAGAGACGCTAGAGACCTAAATACGGCCTGCACACTCTGACTCACACATAGAGGAACATAAGGGAGATTAAATATAAATACACACAGGGGGACAGGACCATGTTAATATGCACTGAAACATTCTGATATTAACACTATACACTAAAACTTCCATGAAATCAAATGTTTGGTTGCAGACACTCTCTTTAAACTTATTCATGCACAACTGTTAAAACAAGGAAGCAGAGGTTTTGCAAAATCTGCATAAAGATAACATCAACGCCACTTCACGGTAGCATTATGACAGGAAAGACAGCGTTTGAAGTTGAGTACAGAAAAAGAAACTCTGATGCTCCTTAATCAGGCTCTGTTCTTAATCATGTAATTGATGTGCTTTGTAACCATGAGTTAATGGAAAGGCTGGAAAGAAGCTCAGCTAATTTAAAATATATATTTATATATCCACAAAAATGACTGTAGTACTATTAAAAGGAAATGTGGTGTTAATAAATGAGTTCTTGAGCTAATCTCACAGGGATTTGGACATGTACATATTACATAAAAAGGTCTGGAACCCCTGACACAGATACATATAATAAAAACTGTACAATGCATTAGAAGAACCATAGCTCATCTCTTTCTCTCAGCACACCTTTATTGCCATCTTGCAGCGGAAGGTGTGCCCACTGGGGATGGTGTACCTGCACAAGAAATGGGAGGGGAAGTTGGTTTAAAGCTCCTGGAAATGACACACACACACACACACACACACACACACACACACACACACACACAGTCTGCACCTGCTGAAGAAGAGTGGTGCGAACAGGAAGCAAGCATATGCCGACCGAGAAGAGTTGACAGACCGCAGGGACAGCTACGAGAGAGAGAGAGAGAGAGAGAGAGAGAGAGAGAACAACCTGTCAGTATTATTCATTTGCGTACAGTGTGCACCAACAGGAAGCAACAACACTTAATGCATGGCAGTGCATCAGAGCAGCTCACCCCATCTTCCTGAGGCTCCACATACAGCTCATCACCGATCCGGGACAGAGAATGGATGGCTTTGGCCAGCACTGGACGGTACACACACACACACACACACACACACACACACACACACACACACACACACACACACACACAGTTAACATCTACGGTCAACAGTTAATTGTTGTCATATGCTGATGTTCTCGTTAAGCGCAAGGCTGATAAAGCAGGAAGTGTTTGCTACCTTTGACGTTTCCTCCTGTCACGACGCAGTCCATTTGTACAAATATTACTTTTACTTAACTTAGCAAACTTGGCTAAAAGTTAGCCGGAACCAGCGGCTAAACACCACAAAGACGTGAACCAGTGGAGTCTTATGAGGTTGACCAGTGAAGAGGAATCCACCTAGTCCTGAAAGCAAACTCTGTTTAGTTATAGTTTTAATTTATACGGTTTATTCTGTGCAGCGGTTCAACCGTTCTCTGCGTTATTTACACCGCCATCACCCGCTTCCGCACTGTTGACCAATCAGAGCGTGAGGAACTCAGAGGGCGTGGTTTTGATTGAACGCCTGCGCAGTGGGATGCTAAACCTGCACGTTTATCAATAAACCCATTTACAATCAGCTTCGTTATATAAATACACTGTACAAATACAATACACTGTACAATACAATACAATACACTGTACAAATACAATACACTGTACAAATACAATACACTGTAATGATAAAGTCATTACATTTATCTGACAGCTGATCAGGTTAGTTTGCTGATTAAGAATTTAATTATTAAACGTGATCATCTTAGAAACTATGATACATCCAACAGAACATAAACCTCAACCAGCAACATTAAAATACTGTGTACACATTTTATACTCCAGTGATATCATATTTATAGGCTATATAATAATATATATATAATGTATAACAATCTCAGAGGGGTCATTCTGTATGAGTACTTTTACTGTTGATACTTACTTTTTGACATTTTACTATAAGGCTATTGTACTTTATTAATTATTAATGTTTATAGTATTGTATTACTACTTTTACTTAAGTAAAGGATGTGAGTATTACTACAACAAACATATTCATACAAAAAAGGACAGTTCACAGAGTTCCTATAAAATGGGTTATCTCCAGGTCATTGCTTCCATTTTTTATATTTCTTTCATTCTGAAGACTTTTAAATAGATGCTGCACACTAAAAATTGCCCTGTAATTACCACTCAAGGGTCATGGTGGGAAGAAAGAGGGTGTGTGTGCACACAGGGAGTCACAGAGAAAAATAGGAAGGAAGGGAGGGCACATAGAAAGATGGGCAGAGAGAGAGACAGAGACAGAGACAGAGAGAGAGGGAGAGTCACTGTCAGTTTACAATTATCTCACCTCACTGGTCTTTCTCGTTTGTCTGCTTCAGTGTGTAAGATCTGAGGAACGCTGCCGTGCACCATCTCTCCTCCCTTTAACCGGTGATGTAAATGGTTGTTGCTGAAGAGGTGTGACTAAAACAACCTTCGTGTACTGAAACCACGGACATTTGGTGAACAGGAGACACGAGAAGACATAAGTTAGAAGCTGTTTTACGTTGGACACCAAAAGAGAGAGACTGCTGCTGAAACTTTTGAGGATTATGGATGAGTGGAGGAGTGGAGGCACTAAGACAGTCGAACATCCATGAGACAAAAGAAGAAAATATTTTTAGCTGAGAGAGTTATACCTTAAGATGATGAAAACAGATAATAATGGAAAAATATGGAGCATGAAAAAAGGAAACAATCATCACAGGAGTCTTAACCACGCAAGTTGGACGTTGGGTGACGTGATTCATACAGCTTATTTCTTCTAATGGTCTCTTTTTTTAAAGTGACGCATTACACAAGACTGTGGAATCCCTCCCTGTTTATCTTACAGTGTTCACATTCACTCATCATTGACATGCTTTTCTGTGATTTCTGGCTTTGATACAAAGCAGTTGTATTCCTAGATGTCTCAGTCACGTAATTCAACAGACACTCAGGCCTTGCTGCAGTCCATGCTGCAGAGACTGAAGCTCCAGCCAGGAAGAGAGGGCCAGACATACCTGCACACAACTCTACCCATCACAGCTCCTTCCACATGGGGGCAAGCTGGAGAGAGAGGAGCCTCCAACCTCCAGAGAGTAAACAACAGTCCTGTAAATGGCTTTGAGTTTGGTACCAATGGTGTCCCCTCAAAACAGCTCGGTATCTCTGCTGTGGACGGTAACATTGGTCAGGGAATACAACAACCATTTCATGGCAGTGAAGTGGACAGTGGTCTCATTTCCTTTCCCACCCAGAAAGACAACATTGATGACACGGGTGAGAAAAGGGTTTTGGGACAGGCCACGCAGCCTGGGATCACCTCAACGGGAACAGGGCAGCTGTTTCCTGTTAAATCACTTAAGCATGCTGATATCACTTCCTCTGAGAGGACTGATGGGGAAAGGGTGAGTTTTGGCAGTTCTGCAATGACGAGGCACACCCCTAGTGATAAAGATGCTGTAACAAGCATGGGACAGAATCAGGACCTGGACCGGGGTTTTACACCCAGAGTCTTTGTGTGGTCCTCGAAGCCCACAGATGCAAATGTTGACACGGGAAGTCAAGGGGATAAAGTTTTACATATGGGAAATGGAGGATTTGGAGATTTGGCACAAAGTAAAGGCACGCAGATTGTCCAGACTGACCAAAACACAACAAACAACAGCTCTAGGAGAAAGCAGCGACCGTCTGAGAATAGAACAAGAAGATGGACTCAGAAGATCAAGGAGAGATGGAGGGACAGGCCGGGGAGTTTTGGCAAAAAGGGAAAAGAAGAAGAAGGGAGGGAAGACCAAAAGAGTATGCAGGGAACTGAGGTAAGCAGTGCATTTTTATTATATTTATTTTCTATTCCCAAAATTAAAAATAAATAAATAGATAAAGTGTGACTGCAACTTGTTTAATTCACAGATTTCACCCCAAAACCAGCTACTGGCAGCAGAAACTCTCATTACCACATCAATTAAGGAGGAAGAAAGGACCCCTGCTTCACTAGACAGTAGTGATACCAGTGTAACCCCTCCTACACACACAGAAGACAGCACTAGCAAAGGACGTATGAGGTAACCAACCCATAAATTAAAATACACCCAAAACCAGTCATGAAGTCAGAATGACACAGGCTAAACATTCTCACAGTTGGGTTTTGTTGATCTGTTGCTCAGCCCTTAAGCAACGCGAGTGAGATATGTGAGGTATTCATGAGACATTTCCAACCACAGCTGTGATATTATTTTGGGCTGATATTTGTTCCTCTTTGGTCGGATGTGCCAAACACACCCCTGCCACTGACAGCGTCTGTCATCAGCCATCTTCACAGCCATCACACTTTCACATTGTGAAAGCCAGTTTTAAGAACATTCCTTAAAAAGGAAACATCATCAATGAGACCATTGATGGAAGAAGTATTCAGATAATTCACTTAAATAAAAGACATACAGACAGTGAATTATAATATTATCACTGATGCTCTAATGTGTAAGCTGCATTTTAATGTTAGTGCTGGTCATGGTGGATCTAAGTTATACTGTTGAGTAGTTTTATTTACTTAAGCAATGTGTCTTATATGATATGCTTAACATGTGTTTTCTTAGCAGTCAAATCAATGTAATGGAGTAAAAAGTACAATATTTCCCTCTGAAATGTAATGTGGAGTTGAAGTATAAAGCAGCATACAATGGAAACACTCAAACAGAACTACCTCAAAGTTTTGAGTAAATGTACTTAATGTCCTTAATTAAATTGTAAATTGTACTTGAGATACACAGACTGAGAGAATCACCCATAAAAAATTATAAGTCTAAATTCATTCAATCTTTAAAAATAAGTCACAAATATATAGTTTTGCAAAGAAAAAAACCCTCTAATTTCCCAGAACAGCTGTCCACTGTAGTTTTTGGCAAATGTTACTCAGGCAGAAGTAAATTGTGCCTTTTAGGGGACTATTTTAAGCAGTGAAGTCGGTCTTTTCATGTGATTTGTTTACAATAAGACAAATATGGAGATTTACCATCATTTTTTTAAAAGTTATTTTTTTGGGCCTTTTATTGGCTTTATTAGATAGTGACAGCTGTAGATTGACAGGAAAGGTGGGTAGAGAGATGGGATGACACACAGCAAAGGGCCGCAGGTCGGATTCGAACCCGGGCCGCTGCAGCAACTCCGTACTGAGCTAACCGGGCGCCCAGATTTATCATCATTTGATGATAGTGGTGGTCAAAAGGATCAAGGGCATCGCATTTTGCAACCTCTGAGACAAATTCGTGATTTTGGGTGAAATAAATAAAAGTCACTTCCTGATTTTGGTTCTGAGGTGATGACGCATGTACTGTACTTACTGCATGGAGTTTACAGAGTCTCTTCTCTTGTTGCAGGTCTGCTAGTGACTTTGAGTTTGGCCTGGGCTCGTTTAGCTTACTGGAGGAGATCGTCACAGGCCAAGAGTGGGCCAAGTTCCTGAATCCCAACCTATCGGTCACCTCAGCCAATCAGAGTCCATCAGAAGAACATAAAATCCCAGCATATCCTTATGATAGCAGTCAATCATCTGTGAACAACCAGTGGAGCTTCAGGGGCACTGAGGCGTCACCAGTTTCAAATTTCAGCATGGCGCAAATATCGCCTGTTCCTCTCCTTCCTGTCAGCATGGACCTTTCAGAAGGAAGACAGCAGCAAATTCACAGAGAGGCTGACCAATCAGAACCAATGGAGGATGGACAAACCCAATCAGATATGCAGTCTAGAGACAGTAGACTGGGACAGCGACTTAGACCTGCGTCCTTTGTGCAGGTTAGATATCACTTATTATGCACAACCCACTGCTTATTCACTTCAGTATTTAGACAGAAATCGTCTGATGTTCCTCCTCTCCATGTTTAAATGATTGATTTTACTATATCATCAACATGAACACCTGAACACACCCATAAGTACTTTCCCAAACTTTACTTTCACGTATTACTCATTCACGCTGTTATCTGTTTGTAATTGCAGCCTGCAGATATTCTGAACAACTCAGCACTGAAGAGCAGAGCCCACCACAACAGAAAGAGACAGCATCAGTCAGCTGAAAGGCTTCAAACTGAGAAAATAAGTGATGCAGACAGAGGTCAGAACAACTTAATACTCTGCATTATCTGATATTTCAGTCAACAGAGGTCAGGTGTTAATACAGCAGAAATGATGTCCTTTATAAACTGTTGTCTCTCGTCTCACAGGGGGGTCCCTATCCTCACTGAGCCCGTCAAGCAGCCATGTGATGGAGGAGTCAGGAGAGTCAGGATGTGATAATGTCATCCCTTTATACACCCTAAACTCTCCTCCTCCACCGCTCTCTCCGTCTTCTTTTAGTCCCTTTGCTCCTGCACCCAGGGGTGTCCTCAAACACTCCATATCCCAGGATTCAGAGTCCTCAGTGGAAGTAGTGACAAAAAGGGTGAGTTAAAAAAGGAACTGTGCATCACACTGCCTCCTTGTGGTATAAAATATAAAAATAACATCTACACAGAGTCCATACTATATGCTGATTATATTCTGTAATGTGTAAAGTATACTCACAATAGTCATTGTGTGGATTAAAAAACAAACATTTTTGAGTGTGTTCCTCACACTGTCCTCCCACAATGCAATGCAATGCACAAAGAAAATGAAGGAGTTTCTCACAGCAAAAGTTGTTGCAGGTGGTGAAACATTTCCAAAAGAAACCTCTGAAAACTAAAACTTTTAAGCTTTTGTTAAGTAACAAAGAGTTACCTTTAAAAGTCCCTGTTTATTGCCTTTGCACTGCAAATGTATTTCTAAAAGTGGTAAAACAGTTCAGTAAATCTGTATACCATAGATTAGTATATACTTGTACTAACATTTAGTAAGTGCTGTGGTATGGAACTGGGAGAGTAAGTTGAAGTGGTTATGAACTGAAGATCTTAAAGGTTTTGTTAAAAGATTAGATTATTTAAACAAAGTAACTTTTTTTATACACAAGGCAGGACAACTCAAGAACAGATCAAGTTATAGACGATTTGGTATCTTTGTCTGCAATAACATGAAATGGTCTGTTTTTTTTATTTTGGCACATTTTATTTTACAGTTCAGTAATTAATTAATAATTTTGTTGTAATTTCCAAGTTTTTATTTTGTAAATATGTCATTTGGTAATAATTATAAGGGCAACTAGAAGGGTCCTGAAAGAAATCACACCTATACAAATATTCATTCATTTTTCTTTCTTTTTTTCATATATGCTGAATTTATTTTTTTACATTCAGCTGACTAAAATTGAAAATACTCTTTAGGTTACACTAATTAAATGTAATTGATTGACTGAAAATGTACCAACTGATCACTGATTTCAAATTGGTACCAAATTACATTCTTATGGTTCTTTCTATTATATTAGTAAAGCTTTGTTTTAAAGTGATGAATGTAACATGGACCAAATATAATATAATAATAATAACACTTTAGAATGATAAAAGTAAATATGACATTTTATTAACTACTTCTTTCTTTGACATTTTCTGTTTTTCTTTCCTTTGATCCATTCAATTCATCCTACTCTGGATCAGCGGCGCGTCGAGGAGAACCGACGGGTTCGTTTTTCAGAATCGGTGATGACCATAGAGCCTCCAGAGCTGGATCTGGATGCTACAGACTCAGAGGAGGATTCAGGAGCGGACGAGGACTCTGTGATAGAGCAGGGCTGTGAGGTGGAGCAGGCAGTGATAGAGGAGGTGGCACCAGCAGCACGTCGGCCTGCTCTCCCTGCCTGGATACTGGCTCTGAAGAGGAGGAAGCACAGATAATGAAACTGCAGAAAAATAAGCATCGTCTTTCTTAAAATAAATTGATATTAAATTAAATCAGCTGAGACAGATTGTCTTAAAACCCTGGAACATATGAATTGCATCATAACTTCAACTTTTTGGGGATTTCTTTAAACTTGTCTCACATTAAGAGTAAGTTCTGCAGTGCACACAGGAAGTTTGCTAACTGGATTTGTTTCTGGGCGCCTCTGTGTGTCTTACTGCTCCTCGTCCCTCTCCAGACCACCACTGTGCTGAGAGTATTTCAAGCCATGTACTGCCACACTGCTTTGCTAAGCAGCACTTTAGGAGCAGCTGTTAAAGGGGAAAAGAGATCAGACTTTTCCAGCTGCACCAGAGGTTTGAACTGGCAACAATTCTGACCTCCTCAGCTCACAAGGACTATGGTTTAAGCATCAACTGTCAGTTTTAATTTAAGAGACTTGTTTTTGTCCACACTCTCCTCTCTGTCTGTCTATCTAGATTGGATTATATACAGCCAACGTGGCACGAGCTGCAGAAGAGTTGAGGCAATTTAGTTGCTGTATTATTGCACCAGCTTTTACGGACAGACTACTCTGCTGTCTGTGTCTCTTGGTAATGGCTCCCTGTCCGGCCATCCTGGAAATTAACCGCAGAGAAGGAAAGAAATATGAGTTTAGAGGTGAAGCAGTGGCAGAAACCACTGATAGTCTGTGGCTCTCTGTTCAACTCTTGAAATGTTGAAACCGTATTTTGAAACCAATTGTTTCCTGGAAACAAAATGCCTGAGCACTGAGATATTACATCTTGACAATATTATTTGTTTAAGCTTTTACCGACTGGCCCTAGAGCTACAGTGATGCTTCAATGTGGGTGTAGCAACGTTGGAGAGCTACGAGACTAAAAGAATAGTTTGACATTTTGTGGAAATGTGCTTATTCCCGTTCTTTCTGTGAGTTAGATGAGCCAATGTCAATGTCTGTGTGTGTTTTTCATTTTTACACTTTTGTATGAATTAAACAAATTATATATGATCAGTAGTAAACTTTAGATGTGCTGGTTGGTGAATTCTGTTACTTCTGGACAGAAACAAGGCTAGCTGTTCTCAGTCTTTGTGCTAAGCTAATTTTCATACCTGGAAAAGAAGTGCAGACGCTTCTGCTGCCGTACCACCAGACATTAAGACAGCTTCTTCCCTCAGGCTGCCATCCTCAGCACTTCATCATGCAAAATATGTTTTTTATTTTTTTATTTTCATGACATACTAATCCATTTCTATTTTGTTTTACAAGTAGCAACAATAATCTAAAGTTCATTATATGTTGTAAATGACAATAAAATAACCTTGAATATTTACAGCTCAGATATTAGAGTGGTGTCCTTCTTCTATTCTGTCTTTAAGTTAGCAAACTACTATCTTATGAGTGCAGGAAAATGTGTATTAACACCCTTTTTTTTAAATCTACATTGCACTCTTTACATGAAAAACATCCTCCAACTACCTCATTGTCCCAGCCACATTCATTCTTGAGGAAGTGACATTATCTACTTTTTCATGCCTCACAATGGCACACACATCCAGTCTTGCTTGGCCTTCAGATTCCACACTGCGTGCACAATTATTAGGCACGTGAGTATCTTATCGCCATTTTCATGCATTTTTTCCAACTCCAAGCTATATAAACTTGAATTCTAAGTGGATACAAGTATTATCAGGTGATGTGTATTTGTGTAATGAGTGAGGCTGTGGCGTAAAGGGATCAACACCCTATATCAAGGTGTGCATAATTATTAGGCAGCTTCTTTACCTCAGACAAAATAGGCCAAAAAAGAGATTTAACAGACTCTGAAAGGTCAAAAATTGTAAAATGCCTTTCAGAAGGATGCAGCACTCTTTAAGTAGCCATGATATCGAGGCGTGATCAAAGGTTTTGTTTGCAAATAGTCAACAGGGTTGCAAGAAACGTGTGGAGAAAAAAAGACGCAAATTAACTGCTAAAGACTTGAGAAGAATTAAACGGGAAGCTACCAGGAACCCACTGACCTCCAGTGCTGCCATATTCCAGAAATGCAACCTACCTGGAGTGTCCAGAAGTACAAGGTGTTCGGTGCACAGAGACATGGCCCAGATAAGGAAGGCTGAAACACGACCACCCCTAAACAAGACTCATAAGTTGAAGACTGAGCTAAGAGACATCTGAAGACAGATTTTTCAAAGGTTTTATGGGTGGATGAAATGAGAGTGACTCTTGATGGACCAGATGGACGGGCCCCTGGATGGATCACTAATGGGCACAGAGCTTCACTTCAAGTCAGACGCCAGCAAGGTGGAGGTTGGCTACTGGTATGGGCTGCTATTATTAAGGATGAGCTAGTTGGACCTTTTCGGGTTGAAGATGGAATTAAAATCAACTCCCAAACCTACTGCCAGGACAATGCTCCATCACATGCATCCAAGTACTCCACTGCGTGGCTAGCCAGCAAAGGCCTTAAAGATGACAGAATAATGACATGGCCCCCTTCCTCACCTGACAAAAACACTACTGGGAACTTGTGGGCCCTTCCTAAACGTGAGATATACAGTGAGGGAAGACAATACAACTCTTTGAACAGCATTTGGGAGGCTGTGGTTGCTGCTGCACAAAGAGTCGATTATCAACAGATCAAGAAACTAACTAACTCAATGAATTGAAGGCTTGTGACAGTTTTTGAAAAGAAGGGTGGCTATATTGGTCACTGAATATTTGTTGAAATGTCAGAAGTGTTTATTTGTAAATTTAGAGTTGTTTATTTGTTATTCTTACTCTAATAAATGAGAATAAACAAGTGAGATGGGAAAACTTTAGTTTTTCATTTATAATTGTGCACACATAGATATTCTCCTTTGTTTAATACCAATCTTTATTAACATTTTGGATTGAATGAGAGCACTGTATATGTTCAAAAATAAAATGAATCCTCAGAAATACAACTTGCCTAATAATTGTGCATGCAGTGTATTTTAGTTGTGCAAACTTGGAGAAACTATTTGTTCATTGTGTCCACAGACAGAGTGAGCAGAGGCCTCATTCAGACAGATACTACTAGTACTTTATGGCACTGTGTATCATATTCTGACATTTCCATTACATGCATCATATTGATTTGTATGATTAAATTAGTACATCAAACTTCATGGCTAACTGCTGTCAATTTCTCTGTGGTCCCCCTTCACAGCTTTATTCTCACGTAAATCACTGTCAGAGCCATTAAGAGGCTCTTTAGCTCATCTATTAGTGCCCTGGTCAGTACGCCTTCCTCCTCTTCTAAAATGTACAGTGTGTGTGGGAAAGAGAGAGTAGGAAATACAGAGAATTACATAAATCTGTCTGCGATGAAAATCTGGGAGTGAACCAAAGAAATAAACAGAGACTTCTGGATTCATTTTGGATTGTCTGGATATAAAAAGAGGACTTACATCAGTCCATTAGTCTGTACAGGAACCTACTGTACGTCATTGCTCAGAAGTGCATTAATAATGGTCCATTTGTAAACCTCAAACGACACACACACATTCATCCCACTGCTGCCCCCTCTCATAACACACACACACACACACACACACACACACACACACACACACACACACACACACACAGGTCATTAACCGTGTCTTTACACCAATTAGTGGACTCTTTAGTGCTTTCATTTGTGCAGGACTGAGAAGAAGGACAGTTGTTGAGTGTTGCGACCATGACAAGAAAGAGAAATACTCCAAAATGTTACGCAAATAGTTTATTCCCAGAACTGTTTTTTCTTGTATCGAACATGTTTGGTTTTTTTAAAATTCTGGCTTGTTCAAGCGAAAGCTACTTGGAAATGAGAAGTGGATTCATTCAGCAATACAATTGGCTGACAAACAGTAGGTTGCAGTTTATTGCAGTTAAGACGCTGTAAAATGTCTTGTAAAATGAAATCGCCTTCTATAAAATACATTTTTTTACTACTGGATGTTTCCCCTCCGAGTTTAATGACTGTGGCTTTGACTAAACTTTATCTAAATGATGATGAAGAGTCAAACCTTTCTTAGGGGAACTCTGCTCCAGTGTGCCAGTTATTGTTATACAAAACAAAACCACAAAACCACAGTTCTTTTCCTGATGCCCAGTTGCAAAACTAAAACTGACGGCAGGATCCTGACAACCAGAAAATGCCTAATGAATCTCTTGCAAGGCAATAAGGGAAAGAAATAGGAAGAGGAATGTCCAGTTCTCAGTGTGTTGTTGGTGTTGTCAAATAGGTTGGTCAGAGGTAGCGAGGGAAATGGCTCCAGAGTCATACGAACTCTTGATACCTGCTTTGAGTGACAGCTGGCTGCCCGGGCTCTGAGCAAGGGATGCTTCTATCTGAGCCTCTGATACCTGGATAGAGAAAACAACCAAATCTGTGAGGAGGCTCTTATATAAAAGCTCATCTGGACTCAATGTAACTTTACTTTTAAAAAAACTCATTACCTCTTCAAACTTCTTGGCTTTGTACTGCTCTGCCCCTTTCAAGAAGTTCAGTAAGATAATGTCACAGAGAACCGTACCCTGCAGACACAGAGGGGGAAAACCATTTAATGTAAGCAGACAGCAACAAGATACTTTTTTTTTTAATCAACTTGAGCATGATCATTAATTCGTACCAGTCCAATAGAGGTGAAGGCAGCTACCAGGTTGATCAGTGTTGGGATTGTGTCAAACTTTCCTGCCTGGAAGAGACGGGCAGGAAAAGATGGAGTCAGTTTAGTTCACATAATGTACAAACAGTCCCAGACATAAGTGCTCTCTGCAGAATATTTACATTGAAATGAAATAAAACTTCACTTTTTAGACACATTGTTCTGTACACTGAACTTATTTGTTGAAAAGCACATAGGTTTTTACAGCTGACAGTTTCAATATACTAAACATTTACAGTACCTGGAGAGTTTGAAAGAACAGTTTGACAATAAGGAAATATTTGCGGCCTGAGATGAGAGATCAAAACAGCTCATGTCTCTACGGTACGCTAGCATCCAGTTACCTTAGCATAGCCTAAAGACTGGAAACCGAGGGAAACAGCTATCCTGTCTCCAAAGGTAACAAAATCCATCTACAAGCTTCTGACACAACCTGACACTTGTAGCATCATGTAGCTGTTTGAAACTTTCTATACTATTATATAACTTAAAAAGACAGATTTAACATGTTTTCAGTGAACAATGCTCAATCTCTCAATTAAGTATTTTAAATGTAAAACACACACACACATTTCCAGGTTGCCACTATTTCACACAACTCACATTGCCAGTGACCATAACATCAAAGCGGATTGCATATGCCTTGTGAAGTGTCCGGAAATCAGTCCCGTTTTCTGTCTTGAAATATTTGGCAAATCTGCATTCAAAGAAAAAAAAAAAAAGAAAACAAGTGAAGATTACAAAAAGGATTAAACATGAAGTAGACATCAAGAGTAAACATCAGCCTCACTACCTGAAGTTGTAGCCTTTGGAGACTGCATTCTTGGCAAACGGTGCATCGAGTCGCGTGAAAGAGTACTTGGGTACACAATATTCAATGTCCAGGTCCAGGTTACACTTCCACTGAATGTTAATTCCTATTTCTCCACCCTGAAAGAGAAGGAGGAGGAAAAGACCGACCTTGAGGATCTACACCTGCAAGTTTGTGGTAAAGGTAACTTTTAGTGTTCAAGTTCAGCTGACTTTTTATTTACTCAACATGTTTGTAATAATCAGGGGTAGGTCAACCCAGAAAGTGGTATAGTAAAAACAATCTGTGCATCACTGCAAAAATGTTGGTTTCTTGAAGCTAAGTGATGTAGCGACTTCTGCTCACATGGCTGGTTAGTAAACTGCTGTATTGGCAAGCTAACAACCTTCCAAATGGTCAGTAAGCTTAGCTCTCTCTCTAACAGGACAATTTGAAGGCCAATAGTCACACAGTTCATTCAGAAGACATATTTGTAGAGGTTTTTTTTTTACAGGAAGTTAAATAAAGGTGAATGGTGCAACACAGCAATAAGCCCCCAAAGGTCAGCACTGTCAGGACCGCTTGCTATCGGTCAGCAGCACAAATCTGCCACAATTCTAACTTGATGCCAAAAAGTTTACACCTTCTCCAAACTGTTAAATGCTGGTAATCTCATGTGTATGAGTTTCACTTCTATGACAACTTGCCTCCTATTCCCATGCATGTAAACAAACAAACAAAAAATAAAGAGTGAGAGGATTCTCTTTTAAGAAAGGGGAGGAAGGAGGCAGTAGAGGATCCATCAGACCTTTTTTGCCAGGCCAGCCACGTTCTGTCCAGTGTACTTCAGCACATCACCCACACGAAAGATGGGACAGAAGGGGTTTGTCTCCGGATGGTAGGTACATTTCTTGATCTGCTCCGATGTCATTGTGGAGGGAAAGTTCCCTCTGAGAGAGAGATGTTTTCATGTTTATGATTAGACAAAACGTATGTAGGTTATTTGTATAACATATTTACTGCACATTTGTTGCTCTCGTCATGTTAACAGGATGTTCTCAGCTGCTTAAATCACAGAATGTGTTTGTATGCACGTGTGTGTGTGTGTGTGTGTGTGTGTGTGTGTGTGTGTGTGTGTGTGTGTGAGACCGACCTGGTGACATTGAAGAGTGGGAAACGAATACTGTTTTTGATGAAGATGGTGAAGTTGTTCACTTCCAGCATGGGTACGCTGGGGAGAATGACAGAGAAGCTGGGGTAAGGATAACAATCGAGGCTTTCAATGAGGGAAATGTTGTCTGGTCCATATCTGTGTGTGTGTATCTTACATCTTGCCACCGTCGTACTCGGTTGGACACCAGCCTTCCACCTCACACATACCCACGGAGTTATTGGAAGACTTGAGGCAAACACCTGTTATTACACCTGGTGTGTAAGACAGAAAGAGAGGACAAATGTTTTGTTGAATTAGACAGTGTCAGTTAAAGAGTAGTTTCTTGAACCTTACAGCCTGTTTTTTTAAGCTCATATACTCTTGGTTTTCTACTTTAATATTACTTTTTCATCCCCATCTTCACCACTACCGATTGGCCAAGATTATTCCTATTAGTCAACTGATCCATAACAACAAAAATGCAGAGGAGCTGTCAACCACTCGACTGAAGGATTGCAGTAACGTAAAAGCACTACCAGGGATGATGGCGCCTTTGTGGAGGGAAGTGGCTGATGCATCAGCTGATACTGGATGTCCAAGAGCACCTTACGTTTACATGGTAAACTGACTGAGCACTCAGCCCCTGCAGTCTTTTTGTGCTTGGTAGGAGAATGATAATGAGCGTACTTCAACATAGTTTGCTTCTACAAGTTCAGGTAAGATTGCAACATCCGCAGTAACGATGTGAGAAGAAGACGTTAGACTCACCGTTGGCAAGGACAGAGCCAAAATGCTTGTGGCAGTCTTCATCTGTCTTACAACTAAACATGTCCACAGACTGAAACACACACACACACACAGAAACTTAAAATGTAACATCATATATAAACTATTTTATATATATAACAGCTTTCTCACCTCACTATAAAGAAATAAACATGTATAACATACAATATTAACCAGGAATAAATTAGGAATGATTTAAAAGATGTAGTATGATTTGAGGGTTTTGGGTGGCTATGACAGAAAAAGGACAAGGGGATAAGCAAAGTGTCAGGAGAACACAGAGGTTGCATTCTGGTTCAGTGGGGAACAAAAACTCAGCAGGAGTCCGGTCATGAAGTGCTTGAAACGTAATTAGTAAAACCTTAAAACCCACAGAAACTGATCGGTAACCAGTGGTTTCAATGTGTCCTCACCTCTGCACATTTTCCTTCAAACTGATTTTCGGTGATGATGAGTTTGGTCATGATGCAGAACACACCTGCACCCTGAAACGCAGCAGAACAATTATGGTATAAATGTGTGTTTATGTGGTAATATACAGTGAAATTGCGCCTCACGTTGCTCATCATGTCATAAAATATTACCGTAACCTTATTAGCCACCTTAAACAGGTGACGTGTGTAGTCCGTCTAAAAGTTAAACCATTTCACAAAGCAAGAAGATCATTGTAACTTTTTAAACCAGAGCCATTCTTGTGTGTGTTCAGGTGTTAACCATGTGTTATGAAGGTCACACACTTGTGGGGGGAAGACGTAGTCGGCCACATCCATCACGCGGTTGGCATGGTAGCCGAAACCTTTTACTTTGGTCATCACAGAGGACTCGATGCCAGTTTCGGTCACCTGATAAGCTTTCTCGTGAATGAAGACCCAGCTGGAGGATGAAGGACACGACACAGGTCATTTAACAGAGTTGTGGAGAATATTAATGTGTGTTCATTCTGGACCAGATTATCTCGGAGCCTGAAACTTCTCACGCACATTTCAAATTGTCAGAAGTCAACCTTAAAATTAGTTTTTATCAAAAAAGAGGAGAAATCATTTCAGATCCAATGTATGTTTGTGCTATCTGCGAAAAATGTTTTCTGATTTGTTATTTTAGTTCAGTATTGTGCCAGTAGGTAGCAGAACGTTGTTTAACAACAATTAATGCTATTTTTTGCATTTCTGAAGCTTTTTTAACCATCTGGATGAAAAAAATATTCAGTTTGTTGCACCATAATAAAACAGTTTTTGAACCTGTTTCCAAAGCTGTGACTATATTTCCCACCCAGGAATCTGGAAATTACACGTCCTTTCTCTTTTAATACAATACAAGTAAAATATTAAATATTTGGATATAACATTGGTATAGACAAATATAGGTGACAGTAACACTCGTTATGTTTGGTTGAGGTTGTACACAGATTTGTTGAAATAGTTTTAAATCTTTTTTTTTTATCAGCGAATGGAATATTTTCACAACTTTGTTAAGTGCTGTTAATTAACTTTTCAGGTTTTTTTGAAGGTGGCAGTTTTTTGTCTTTATAAATTGGATAGTAATACATATCACCACTATAAAGATAAAGTGTTCCTTAAGAAACAAATGCAAAAATGTCTGGTCCAGCTGGCAGATCATCATTATTATCATTATTATTTTCTCTTAAAAAAATCATTTTAAAATGTGAGTTTTGAGGGATCCCTGTGGTCTCAGATGTACATTACACATAATTTGATGGCAGCATTCCCAGTTATCAGCTGGGAATCTTAGTTGTATATCACTCTCCTGCTCTCTCCTACTGTTTCCTGTTTGTCTGCTAAACATAATAATTCACATCATCAGGACTTCAGGAACAAAATATATGTTCTGTACAAGTTTTAGGTATTTGATTCTATACCTTATTTATTTACATGCCACTTTATACTTCTACGCCCCCTACATATAGGAGAATATCATTACTTTTACTCTTTACTTTTACATTTATTTAACAGCTATAGTTCTTCCTAAAGATTAAACTAATCAAATGTATATAGATAGAGTTAAAATGAATTGACAGTGAGTACATTTACTTTTGTTTCTTTGATTACATTTTGCTGATAATACTTTCTGCTTTATTTTAAGTAAAATTTTGAAAGCAGGACTTTATTTTGCAGTACTTTTACAGCGTGGTATTGCTACTCACAGCTGAGTATTTTAGAAAAGGGGGTGTTGAGCAGGTGCAGTTTTCAGTTTTACTTCACTTATCTTTAGTCGAAAATTAAAGAGGGGACAATGAACACTAGTGATCTTTTAACAGGAACTATTTCTCCTGAAAGTAGTCTGGTACATCCAGTCTATAGGGGAAAGTGCAAGCTGCTATTGAGTTTTTCAAATGTAATTTTTCAAAGCTTTACGCCCCACAAATTCCCTCCATATCCTCCATTGCACTGGCGTGGTTACAGAAATCCCAAAGGAGGATTTCTCACAACGTGGACAAATAAAACCAAAAACTATCTGCATGAAATCAGTCTTTTTGCAATTTGGGTGAACTGATTCCTTAAACAAGAGAAACCTCAGATAATCAAACCTGGGATGGACATAATTAATCACAATCATCCACAAAACATGCAAAATAAAAAACTAGTCAAACCTACTCACCCGACAAAATATGTGATGATGAACAGCTGTACGATCCGGTTGATGATGCCCACAGACCAGCTCTTGACCACCACAGACTTGGTGGTCTCATAGGTGAAGAAGTCGGTGATCCAGCCACTCAACCAGGAGCTCATGGCTGCTTGTCAGAGAGCGGAGACGGGTCAGTCCTCCTGAGTCTGAGAGGAAAGTGCAACTCTTGTCCAGATTCAACAGGTACCTTCAGAGAGGCGTAAAACAGTTTGAATGTCAATCACTCCCGATTCTAATGTGGTCGTAGTCTTCACACTGGTCAGGTCTTTCACTCCTCTGTGTGGCATGTGTTCATCTGTCTTACTGCATATTTGATGGACAAACCTCACTGTCTCTCTCCTCTGTCGTTATTTCATTGGTTTATGACACAAACTGGACCTCCCCTTCTTTTACTTCCTCCCTCTTTCTCTTTCTGTCTTCACCACAAATCCCCATCTCCCATGCCTCTTTTCTCTCACAGTCTCTTATTCCAGCTGTGTACCTTTGAAAACATTCACAAACGTACACAAACAATTTTCATTTGCTCCGGACACATTAGTGAATCTTCCCAGTGGGTTTTTGACACTTACACTACCATCACTTCATTCATATTTCAGTGTTAGTGACTGAATCTAAATACCAAAACCTGATCATTTCACTCACAGAAACACAAAGGACACAATGTCTACAGCTGTTCAATAATAGCAAGATACAAAATAAAGATAATGGTTTGTGCATTGTAATAACTGTTTATTTGGTTAGTTTATTTACTGGTTTATTTGGCTCTTTAACAGGCTTTACTATAAATGGGACAGGGTTAGTCAAAAGGTAAGTTTTCATCTTGTCAGATGTTACACAGGTGTCCTAAAGACAGAAGAAGTATATTAGTTTCCTGCTATATCAGCTGGGTCTTTTGTGAGGATTCAATCTAAGATCACGCTGTCATTTACAAAATCTGATTTAGTTATGTATGTACGTATGCCTTCACAAAGTGAAATGGAAAATTTAATTGTACAATTTTGTCTAAAAGCAATTTTTAAAGCAAGAGCCCCCATTCCTTCATCATTTTTAAAATACATCTATCCAAAAATGTCCGTCCTTCTAGTCAGCTCTACGACCAACTAGGATCATATACCAGAAGGCCTGCACATGATATAATACACTGTCGGCCAATATTAGCTTATTGCAGATTTATCTCTCTATGTGCTAACCAATAAGTAACATTAAATTACAATTCAAGATGCTAAAAATTATTGATACATTTTGGTGCAATATGTCAAATTCATACTCAAACAAATAGAGGGGAAGTTGTATTACCAGAGTGATTACTAACTGCTGCTAACTGTAGTTACCATTAGTTAGTTAGCCGTGCAGCTAGTGGCCATATAAGCTGTCTTTATCATCCACTGTCACCACCCAAAATGAGTTGGTTCAGTAGATTTTATACTAAGTTATATCAAGAACTGCCTTTTTTATAAACCTGACCATTGCTGGCTGATTGTGTTTTCATATTTCTTTTAGCTCTTGCAAAAAGTTCCACGTTTTGTTGACAGAGAATTGAATAAGTGTGTCTGAAGACTATTGACTACACCAACAACAATGTGGGTTTCCCATTTGTAACACTAAAGACGAGACATATTGGAAGCGAATCAGGACATCTGAGATCCATTTACGGTTCTTAGAAACGAGCTGTGAAAACCTCTGAAAATGTCACAACATAAATGTAACACTCAAATGTTCAATTTGTCTCCATTAAACATAATTTTATTCATTTACGTACATCAACAGGACAGAAAAAAGAAATCGGATTGTATACTTACAGGCCCTTATAAGAGGCTTGAGTTTAAATGCACAGTAATAAATTACAAACTATGGCATTATTGGCAAGTGTGCAATAATTGCGACATACGATACGACCACTTCTCAATACACTCACGAGCACCGACAACATTATTGCCTCTCACATCAGGGAGATAATGTAATGTAGCAATGACAGAGTGTGTGCATGTGTTTGTGTGGATGTATGTGCCTGGAGACTATGTAATTTCTTAAGTGGGTCCATTATGTTTGTGGTCAATTAATGGTAACCTAATACAAAGACAAAATACACACATGCACCCTTTGGACATACGAACAAGCACACAAGCTTTCAGGTTGCGTGTGACTGTAACATTTATCAGACACACTGTATGTATGCATTCCTGCAATGGTTAATGGTGCTGTGAAACATATACATTTACGAATATGAGACACTATTTGTCAGATTGTAGATGAACATGAGGAGGGAGTGGAGGATTGTCAGATGGATATCGATTGTAAAAGGAAGGCTTCACATTCATACTCGATCCATTTTTGACCGCTACATTTAGGACATGCCAGCACACAAACATCCCGAGATCACGTGACCACAACCTCACACATACTCAAACCACACGAAAGAGAGCCTGCACAGTGTCCATCAGTCAGCTCTGGTACAGTTACACTTTACACAGTGACATCTTTTTTTTGCCGGTGATGGTCGGTTGGCTGCTTTGGTCAAAACTGAAATATCTCAGAAACAATTTGGTGGGTTGCCTTTCAACTTCACAAAGACATCCATGTGCCCAAGTGAATCTCAGTGACTTTCCCCAACTTTTCCTGTAGTGCGATCATCTGGTCAAAGTTTTAATTTATCCCATGAAATATATAAAGATTGACTTGAGGAAGTAGCCCAACAATTTGTATTTTCATGGTTCCCAGACAATGAATCCTAGTGAGTTTGACGCCCTGATATTTCTCAACAACTTCTGGATGGATTACCATTTAATTTGGTTTAGATATCCAAGTAATAACTGGCGATCCCGACTTTTCACCGACCACCTCATCACACTCCCATCAGCCTCAGCTGGCTATAGATGCTTGTTTTCCCAAGAATGCTTCAAAATAAAACTTAGAAAAGAAGGTTCAGTGGGAATTAGGAAAACTGAGGACACAGGGAGATCTTTGAGCTCAAATACATTCAAAAGGCTCCATGGAACAAAAATGTATTTACAAAATGTTACATGTAACTGACAATAAATACAACGGGTCATTCTCAGGTCATCCAGCCAGCCGTACTGCAGCAGGAAGAGTACCTTATCATCAAAACCAACACTGTCCAAATGGAAGTGAATCACACATCCGGTAGTGTCTGGCTCTTAAAAACCACCCTCTTCAACCCTAATATAGCAGCCCTTTTACAAACCACTGGGTACTTAGGCCTCGGTCTCCCCATTTGAAACCACTGTCTCTCAAACATTCACCAGTGTCGCCATCTACCAACCCTGATAACACACACTCCCAAACCACCTTGCCTGGTTAAATGGGTCTGATGGGCAGTGTGGATAAACTCATTTGGGAATTTCCTATGTAAGACTACAGCGAGCTAGGTAATCTCCCTCAGCCACAGCATAAATTCTCAGTGGATAGGTGGGCCCTTTCATTGCAGTGAAATAAAATATATACATGGAGAACACTCACTCTGCCAGGGTTTTAGTCTTGCTTGATTTTACATGGTATGATTAGAAAATTAACTGACTTTCAGGACTGCGGTTCAAAATTCATTCTTGACCTTCAAAATAATTCACAAAACAATCTCAGCAAAAGTCCATTTAGTGTTCTGGAGCATTTGATCACATCACATGATCTTCCTCTGCACATGGACAGTTCAAATTTCCATTTATTCTGAGCACATAAACTTATTTTACATGTTGGCTAGGTTCAAATGTCTATTTAACTGTCTGTTGAACACATAATCCTAAGAAAAGTCACAATACAAGTGAAAATGCCAACAGTACATGAATGCAACCATGGTTTGTTTGTTTAACAGCTAACATAAAAACCTATTTAAAGCTGCTTTCTATTATGATATTAAAGAAACACAGCAAAGAAAGGAATTATTAAAAATGAGTCATTTATTTATTTAAGCCTCAAAACAAACATGACATTGCAAAACACAAAAAAACAAACACTTATATGCAGTTTTTAAATGCTTCACACAGGAGGAACAAAATGGCTTTGCATCTCCTCTCTGCCTCATCCACATTAATCAACTAATACCTCCTCATTGCTATAAAACTACAACAACCATCCCCATGGGTAAAAATGGGAAAAAAAACAAAAAAACCCTTCAAGAATTCTGGGAAATGAGGCACACCAGTACACCACCATTTCACTGAGCCGTCAAGTAGGAAAACCCGCTTGAATATCAAATATTACTTGAGCTTTTAGAATCAGTCACAAGATGTGTTTGTACTCCTGAAACAAACATGTAGAAGAAGAAAAATACAACTCAAGTCCGTTGATTTATCGGTCAGTCCATCTGTGTGATCTCAACATAGAGAGTATAAATGCTTGGTCCTTGGTTTGTGTGTACTGTGGGTGTGTGTGTGTGTTTAGTCAGACTCTTCCTCTGAACTGGCAGGTGTGGACACGGCCTCTTCCTCCTCCTCGTCGGATTCCGGCTAAAAGATAAATGATGGGGGTAAGTATGTTTGTATTGTAGTAAGAAAAATATAATATGATATATCTCCCAAAACAGCAATAACAATATCAATGTAAACAAAATGTAGTATCAGTCTGATTATAGCTGCATCTCACAGTCATATGAATTTTATAGATACGTAGGACTTGCTCTGTCTCACACTCTCATACATTATCTCTTTCCCTCTCACTCTTACATGTAACTTCTCTTTATTTTGAGTGTGGCTTTGGTCACATTTCCTCTCTTTCCCCTGCAGCTGTCCTGCGATCAGTTCAATCATACCTTCCACTCAAACAGAGACATGCCTGATTCTCACTGAGCAGCTTTTTAATCTCCCCATGTACATCATTGAGCCTCGGCCCATGACCCTGTCTCTGGTTTACAGCTTTTCCTTCCTTGGACCACTTTCTGAAACGCTCTCGATTTCAAGGATTTGAAGAGGCGCTGATGACAGAACCAAACCATGTAAACTTAAAACACTTAAAATTAACACTTAAAATAATCTCTGCATCGACCTGTAATGCAAACTTAGGAGTGGTGGAAAACAATGCTGCGCAATAATGCTTGTATCACTACAAAAATCTATATTCATATTCAGTAAACTGAGTCACTGCAGAGTGGTGTCACACAGACGAGGATGAATATTATAATGCATTTAGCTGCAGCCTCTTCGATAATCACATTAACCATTACTGCCTTTACCTTCTTCCTCTTGGACTTGGAGCTCTTGTGGTCAGAATCTGATGAACTCTCGCTTGTCTCGATGAACTCTCGACTCTTGAAGCTGTCGTTGCCTCCTCCCCGCTCCTTTTCCTTTTCTCCACCTGCAGACTTCCTCT